CATTGGTGTTTATGGTGCGTAGAATAGAAGACAAAGATCATGGCTACTATCACAGAACAGAAGGGGAAGTGCAAACAAATCGGTGAATCAAAAGTGGTTCGTTTTTCTGCACAACAAGCGATGTGTTGTGGTAGCGTTCCACACGGGGTTTCTATGTGCACTCACACTATCATAGCATGCTGCCTATCTTATCTGCAGGCAGAAGATGCCTTCTACCGCTAGGTGCGCTAGTGTTCGCAAATGACAAGTGGAGCCACTTTCTGATTCGAAGTTCCACTGCTGTGCTACTATGTCACACTGCAGAATACAGTGTTGCCCACAATACAGTTGCGTTATCTTGCCATAAGATTATCAATTTCTTTAACAATTAATAACTATTTAACTTGACGTTTGGCTGAACAACGATTTTCTGCAAAGTTGTAGCGGATACAAATTCCTTTACGAATAGCAATAGAATTTGTTAACGGTTCAATATGTAAAAAGGCTAGAAGACAATGAACAAAAAGTTTTGTTTTCCATAGTAATTTCCATATAAACTTCAAATGTTTGTGCCAAGTCAGTTTCTTATCAAATGAGTTTAAACTTTCGGAGGCTAATCGGGACCCGATTTGAAACCGTTTGAACACTGTGGAGCGAAAATTTCAAATTTTGCATCAGTCTACTATACACACTTAGAAATTATCGCCGACTTGGGTAATTTTTACCGAAATCTGAACAGCTGAACTTTTCGGTAAAATTTATGCAATTTAATTCAATTGCTTTTCTGTTACTTTGAAACTAAATCTACACTACAATGACAAGATTTGATCGTTGAAACAAGGTTGAACATGTTTTGAAACTATTTTTTAATTCAATGGACTTCAAAATGAAGGTCAAAGTTTTACCGAACGTTCAGCTGTTCTGATTTCGGTAAAATTTACCGAACACGAAAACAAAATCTTAGTGTGTAGGTAATCGAATGACATACTTTAAAAAAAAATAACAATTTTTGGTGTAAATACAGAAATTTTTAGAATTTGTCCATATGGCAGCATGCAATAATTACGAATGGCGAAGGTACTGAAAGTGTCTCAAGTCCAACAATCAAGTGGCACTTCATGCCACCTGGAACACCCCGCATGGGCGGAAGCTGAGAAAGAATGGACGGCAGGAAGCTGACTCATGAAATACTCCGGACCACGTTGTTCGAGGCGGTAGATATGGTCAATTCTCGTCCGTTGGCATATCTTCCACAAGAATCTGAGGAGACCGAAGCCATCACACCGAACTATTTTCTACGTGGCGTTACCAAAGATGCGGATCAGATGTTCGATGATCAAATTGAGGTGGCAGAAGCGCTGAAATCAGCGAGACTGAATACCCCCTCAGTTGGTGGAGCTGATGCTGGACCGGTGCTACCCGAGCAAAGTTGGATATCAAAAATCAAAATACTATCAAAATGATATCTTATTTTGTTTTTAAAATCATAGTGATAACAGTTTTTGATATGCTATTTTTTAATTTCGGTTGAATTCATATTTAGCTATTATTTTGACATTTCTAAAAAATATAATTAAAAACAAAATTTGATATTTTATAAAAAAAATTATTATTATTTAACTTTATTAATGAGGCTTTCAGCCTTGGGCTGGTTCGCCTCCATTTATATATAAAAAAAAAAAAAAAGCATCCACATTTAATACTGAAATCTACATTTGTTTTTATTTTTACTTCTTACGAGTCAACCATGTTTTCTTTATGAACATCACAAAGCCAATGATGTTTTTTACAGTGTTGGTTTATTAATATTAATCTATCTGCGAATTGAATTTACAAATCGATATAAAATTGATTTAGTCCTGTTCGTCTGTAATACTTATAATAATACATTGTCGAATATATAATAAAAGTTAAATAACTTTCGTAGGCTTAGTCGGTTTCTTAGCTCATATTTAAACATGTTGTCATAAATCTCATTACCTATCAGTTTTCTCCCAACAAAATAAATATCGTCGTGTCTGTTAAAATATGTTCGATGCGAAGGAATTGATCATTCATAATAATATAAGAGTCACCATAGACTAATTTTTTACATGATTCGTGTGTCCTATTCCTATATTGACTATAATAAGTCATTAAAACAAAACTCTAAATCCAAAAACTTCACATTGTCTATTTGATATTGGATCTAATAAACTTTAATAGTTCGTCATATTTTAACTTTTGTTATTTGTCTATAATGACAAAAGCGATTCATTGTACACTTTCTTGTAATTTGTACCACTGGATGATTACTTCCAGTTCTGTACTTTAATATGGCACCATTCGCACTTTATTGACTACATTTTTTGATTTTGAATCTTGATATCAACCAATAAATTTCAAAACATTCAGATTACTAAATTTGATATCACGATATCAAAATAATAACTAATTTAGTTTTTTCATTTTTTGTTTTCCTACCAAAGTTATAATAACATATTGATTACTCATTTTGTTTATTATTGACGAAATTACTAATATCAAAACGCATACATGGATTTGTTATCAGGAAAATATTATTTTTTATCTTTTTAATATCCTTCATATACCATTTAGATCTCATTTTTGTTATGATTACTGTTAACTCAACCACACGGTAGGCAAAATATGTTATCACGAACGCTTATATCAAAATATCAAATTTAGTTTTCATTTTGTTTTCATTCTCTGCTCGGGTTCTGTTTGGGATGTGCTCCCGAGCAAAGTCCAGCATCAACATGACAGCAAATTGAAATCACGTTTTGATATCAACATCAAACTGATATCCTAATTTGAATTCAGCTTATGCAATTGATAAATTTCGTTTTCATTTTGCTGTACATTTGCTCTTCAAAAATATGTTGTTGCGGGTTTGTTTTCATTGCCTTAGCATAACATCAAATTGATTACTTGTTTTGTTATCAACAGGAAAAATTGATATCAAATTGAGTTTTCAGTTTGCTCTCACTGATAGCAGAAATAGTTTTCAATGTGATGTCACAGGAAGATTTTTTTGCTCTCAATTTTGATATTTTAACCGTTAAAACGACCAAAACGACAGCAACCTGAGCAATCATTATCAGCGAAATCACAACATCAAATTTAGATTTCAATTTGATCTCAGACTTTGCTCGGGCTGCTCGGCCACAATGGCGGCACGTTTTTGGTTGTTTGTCGTACGTTACCAACGTTGTTTCGTTGTCGACCGTGATGTACGATGGTATGGCGCTTTCGAGTCGCATTCGCAAAACTCGAACACCGCTCAGGAATCCTGGGAAGTAGTGCTTCTATTTCTTATGTCGACTGGAAATCACTGTCCCGTACTTTGCCATGTGGTTCATAACAGTGGTCTGTGGCCATGCCAGAGGAAGGTCATGCACTCGAACGGTCACTGCTTCACAACCCACATATACCGGGATTTTGAACTCACTCTTCGCACAGAAAATCGCATGTTTATAGTTGTGCGCCTTTTCATAGCGCAAGGCAACTCCATTGTCTATCATCTCAATAAAACACAATTTCTAACGTTATGAAACTGAATGCATCTAACGTCCGAATATTGAAGCTTAGTATTGTTCTCGTAGAATTTTTGCACTTTTCCCGCATTAGGACGAATTGGAAGGACACTGAAGTCAACAACAAGTGTGTTTTTACGAACTACACTCATTTTCGCTACAGTATTTCACCAAGTTAAGCAGAACAGAAAGAGCACACGTCCGATGAATACGAGTAATGGCTGTCGGTTCAAAATAATAGCAGTACTAATAATTTTCATTTCAGCTTAATTTCGAGATTTTAAATTTTACATTTCTCAAAATTCTAACAATCTCCACCAAATTAACAAAGGTACATAATAGCTAAGAATGTTTAAAATATTTGCAGCACGTAAATTTTCAAATAAAAAACTGCTATTATTTTGAACAATTTTACCTGGTGTCTCACTTTCCGGCAGGTGCTTCCAAAAATTTAATATGTTGTAATCGTAAAATTGAACACATTTGTAGTTCTTTGGCGATTGATCATAAGTTAACAAAGTTACATCAAGTCAAAGTTGAGCATTTTGTATGCGCTGCTATTTTATCGAACACAGCTGTAATGTCAGGCTAAATGCCCATATTTTGGGCCCATACATAAATTCAGCAATCGACTAAATTTTCAATAGCGACCAAAAATATACATTAGTACCGTCCCAATGACGCGTTTATCTAGATAAAATTGTTAAATAGCAGATTTTCATCGATGGGCTCAATCTTAGACCCATAGGTCAACATTAGAGCCATTGCCCCTATGCGATTACTTTGCTTAATGGGGCAAACTGACTTGATGTTGTTTTCTGTTTTCGCTGGCGCTGATTTCATCTGTTTTCCGCATATTATCTAATTGCACCAAGTTAAAAAAATATTAGTTTTTGCGTAGGGATAAGTGTAAATTAAGATCTATCACATTTTAAGAACTTTTTTTAATGATATTGTAATTAACGTGCTGCACGTAAGGAGACGTGATTGATAATTTATCCTAGTAAATACACTTAAGTAACATTAGGGGGCCACCAAACGACGTATAATAACTTTTGACTCAAAAACCAGTATTTTTGAGCATGAAAGCTAGCGATCTGCTTTATATGATTAAAACTTTGCTATCACTATGAGATTATATGTGTTTAATTGGAAATAGGAATAACGTTTCGGTCATCAAAACAAAACTTTATTTTTCTCGCATCGGTGCGAATATTACTTTCTACATAATGAAAATTTGCTATTGAATTAATAGTTATTACCCGTTGCGAGAGAATGTGTTCACCTTCATAACTTGCAAATGACACAGTATAATTACATATTCTTTGGAAATTACTGATTCTTGAACATTGTTGCATCACCTTTGTTTACATAACGGAGTGATTATAATATATATTCTTATCTGTATTATTCAAAAGCTAAAGCTCTCATTTCCATTGTAAAACGCAATTCAATTGATAACACTTTTGGCACATGAAAACTTACCGAAATCTATAAATTGTTTGATGCTTAAGGGCGATGGATTGAACTGAGAATAAAAATCCAACATTTTATTGATGTTGGACATTCGTACCGGGAATAGACGCATTTCGTTTTGTAGATTTTGCTTGGCACTGACCTAGAAAACTGCACAAAATAACGAACCGAACATCAGCCGAATGTTATGCACAAATATTAAATACCTTACAAAGTAAATGCAATATGCTTGAACTAACACTTATTACGCCTTCGGAGTGTTTGTTTGAAGAATATTTGCGACTTTCAGAAAAAGTTACAAACTGATTTTTCGGGTTTTTCCCATTGCTATTAGCCTGTCGAAGTCGTCGAAGTCCTTCAATGACATTTCAAAAACAAAACTGGCACTCAAGAACAGTGATGTCAGATGATTTTTTCAAAAGTCGCCCACACGATTGCCGGCGAAAAAGTGACGATATTTGACATTGGGCGCCTTGAAGACTGATCGTTCGGCCTTCGTCCGGGATGCGGACGAAGGGCGGACCACCCCACTAGAGTAATTTCATCCGCCGGGCTACCAAATGACGGATGGAACTTAGCCATTTTTTGTGATTTTTTTCGCGGCGACTGATTACACTGAAACAAGGATCATAGTTAGAAATACTATTTTGCAGAAAACACTTATTATCAATATAACCGCGCTTATTACTGTTAAATCTACTATAAATTCAGTATAGTTGACTACGAATGTAAAACAATTTACTATGATTCTGACGAAACTACTATGCTCGCTCAAAATGCATAGTAATTTTGATAGAAATAATAGTAAAATTAAATGAAATTGTTTTCTGCACAAATCTATTGGTGAGGGTATTTAAATTAAACCAGCAATATAGTATTTTTGCCAATGGATTTTGTATCAGTGTACTGATTATTAAGTGTAATTATTTTTAAAAATTGATTCGCTGGAGGAATCCGGCTGAGTTAAGCATTCTTATAAGTATACTGATGCAACGCATCAATAAGGATGTTTAATTCATCCGGATTCCTCCGGTGGATCAATTTTAATGTAATTGTTTTCCAAAATTGTTCCGCTGATGGAATCCGGTTGAGTTGAGCATCCTTATTGATGCGTTGCATCAGTAAGGATGCATAACTCAACCGAATTCCTCCAGCGGTTCAATTTTGGCAAGTAATTACAAATTCTAACAGACAGATCCAAAATTTTGATGATTTTTAAAATACTTTTTTAAGCCGGCTGCTTCCACTAATTACGTTATTAAGGTTTGTTATTAAGTGTAACTATTTTTCAAATTGATCCACTGGAGGAATCCGGCGGGTTTAAGCCGTTTAAGCATCCTTACTGATGCAACGCATCAACAAGGATGTTTAACTCATCCAGATTCGTCTCGAATCCTCCATCGGATCAATTTTGATGTAACTATTTTCCAAAATTGATCCGCTGGAGGAATCCGGCTGAGTTAAGCATCCTTACTGATGCAACGTATCAATAAGGATGTTCAACTCACCCGGATTCCGCCAGCGGATCAATTTTGATAAAATTATTTTCCAAAATTGATCCGCTGGAGGAATCCGGATGAGTTGAACATCCTTATTGATGCGATGTATTAGTAAGGATGCAGTTTTGATGTAATTATTTTCCAAAATTGATCCGCTGGAGGAATCCGGCTGAGTTAAGCGTCCTTACTGATGCAACGCATCAATAAGGATGCAGTTTTGATGGAGGAATCCAGCTGAGTTAAGCATCCTGATTGATGCAACGCATGCCGATGCCGGATCCCGATGTTTATGTTTAAGGTAAAGTTAAGTTAAAGTTTTATTAAAATTAAGTAAAAGTTGAAGTTATTTTAAAGTTAAGTTAAATTAAGTATGTAACAACTTAATTTAAGTTAAAATTATGTTAAAGTTAAGTTAAAGTTCGGCTAATTAAGTTAGAGTTATGTCAATTTTATGCTACAATTATGTTAAAGTAAAGTTAAAGTTAAGTTAATATTATGTTAAAGTTAAAGTTATGTTTGTGGTAAGATAAACTTTTGTTAAAACAAAAGTTAAAATCTAGCTAATTTTACGTTAAAGTTAAGTTAGAGTTGTTAAAGTGTTTTCACCGCGAAAAGTTTTTTTTTCTGAAAGCAGTTTTTGTGCCTCAGGTGACTCGCGCATTACATAAGGAAGCAGCCGATCCTGGCGAAGCCTACGATCGGACTGTCCATCTTTAACCCGCTCGAAGATATCAAATTGATTTTATCGGAGCCATAGTCAGCAGCAAGAGCCGTGTAATACACATCGGCAAACGATAACCACACGGACGGTGTGTACGACTGGAAACAATAACCAGCAGAAAGCAGTGAGCCACCGCACGGACGGTGTGTACGACCGGCATCTATTGTGGCAGAGCAGCAACAGTATATCAGTAGAAACGGTAAGGGCAAATAGTACCACGTATCTGTTTTTGTATTCTCATTCCTCTGACTGTTTGCTTGTGGATCGTCTGTCTCTCCCCCAGTAGAATCGTTCCACATAGGGTGGTTCGTTAATAAAAAAAAAGTAAAATAATAATTACTTTTTGACGACAATTTTTAATTTCTAATGGATGGTTCAAAGGGGGGCAGTAAGCCTCCCAATGATAAACTTAGAAAGCGCCATTATCAGGCGTCCTCTGCCTCGCCTTGGGTTGTCTATTTTCGGCAGAAAGAGAAAGCCCTTAACTTCTTAGGGATTAAAAGAATATTGACGCGTCGTTTCCCGGGGACCGAATTTCATCAGGTCAACCGGAACAAACTGCGTATAACTGCGCCTACATATAATATCGCAAATGATATTGCTGACGACGAGGCTTATAACAAAGAGTATTACGTCTACATCCCATCTCGAGATGTGGAGATAAACGGCGTGGTCTCTGCAGTGAGCCTGACGTGTGATGACGTCATGGAAGGTATGGGACGCCTTCAAAATGCTGCTACATCTACCGTGGACGTTCTGGGTTGCAGGATATTGTATTCAGCGACCACGGTAGATGGTCAAAAGACTTATTCCCCTTCAGGCTCACTACAGGTGTCTTTCGCTGGATCGGTTCTCCCAAAGTTCCTAGAAATTGAAAATGTTTTTTTCCCGGTGCGACTTTTTGTACCAAGGGTATATAATTGTACCAACTGCAAAAAGTTGGGAAACATAGCTGCTTTTTGTGACAACAAGCCCCGTTGTGGCAAATGTAGCCAAGACCACATGGAGGGTGCTTGCCAACAGGAAGCAACTAAATGTGCTTACTGTGGCAAAGAACCTCTTCATGCTTTGCAGGACTGCCCCGCGTACAAGAAGCGTACCAACAATGTGAAGCGTTCAATAAAAGAACGCTCCAAGCTGACGTTTGCAGAAATGGTTAAGTTGCAAAATGGAACCTCTGCTTCGTTGGCATCAGCCGCTCAAAATGAAAACACTTTTGAGATTTTGTCTTCCGATGAACTGGACTCTGACATAGCAGATGAGAGTGAGTCTCCGGAGGTACACGCCCCCGGTAAAAGGAAGCCAACTAGCTCCCCGGGAGTGCGCCGGAAAAAAATAAAACCACTCTCAAAAGCATGCAAAAATCTGAAGGTAGCGGGGATTCATTGAAAAAGCCGAACAAATCGGTAATTGCCCGAATAGAAATTGTAATGTAGGAAACACCAGCAGACATCTTCAATACATTAAATTTTAACGTGTATTGCTGTAACCTTAATGTATTCAGACTTCAGTGTGACGTCCAAGTACATAAAAATACATTAGCCTCAAACGTTACATCAGAATCAAACGTCTTGACGATGTAAAATTTGACATCAGAATACATCCAATGACAACAGAACCTAACGTTACATTAGAATCAAACATCATCACGATGTAATTTGTTGCACGCATAAAACATCAGAATACATCCAATGACAACAGAACCTAACGTTACATTAGAATCAAACTTCATCACGATGTAATTTGTTGCACGCATAAAACATCAGAATACATCCAATGACAACAGAACCTAACGTTACATTAGAATCAAACATCATCACGATGTAATTTGTTGCACGCATAAAACATCAGAATACATCCAATGACAACAGAACCTAACGTTACATTAGAATCAAACATCATCACGATGTAATTTGTTGCACGCATAAAACATCAGAATACATCCAATGACAACAGAACCAAACGTTACATTAGAATCAAAGTTCATCACGATGTAAATTGTTGTCCCTCGGTCTCTCGCCGCATGCAAAGTTTGTTTTGTCCTGAGTCAGCACTACACGGCGAATGAGAACGACCGAAATTTGAGGTTAGTTCACTCATAAATCGCAAAAAGTGCAGGAACTCAGTTTTGAATTAATTTCCCTCATGTTCCGAATATGAGAAAAGCAAAGATTGGATTCTCTGGATTCTCGTAAATTTTCCTTATTTTAGGGCAGATTTTTGAGGTTTTCCACAGGAAAACATGCGGCAAATTTACTCATCCTGCACTTTTTTCGATATTGAGTACACTGTACTCAAATTTGCGTTGATCTCATTAGCCGTGTACAGTTTTTTTTCGCAGTGGGAAAAGTTTGATTTGTTTACGAATTAGCCCGGGAAAGTGCCGACAATGTGTCCGTCGCGAGTTTTGGTGGCGATGCAATGTTTTTCTGGTAAGTAAATGTGAATTTATTAATTTAATGTAATGTAATTATGTTTTTTTTTAGGAAAGTACCAGTCCCAAGCCGAATCCCGGTAGGGAATCCGAAGCTGGATCCCGGGCGGGGAGTTTGCAGCCAGATCTCTCGACATACTGCAGGTTAGTCAGTGTATTTACTAAAAGCTACAAGCCCGATGACGGGTTCCGTAAACGGAGCCCGATGGGGATTCCGTAGACGGATCCCGATGGGGAAACCGAATACGGATCCCGATGGGGAAACCGAATACGGATCCCGATGGGAAAACCGAATACGGGTCCCAATGGGGAAACCGAATACGGATCCCGATGGGGATTCCGTAGACGGATCCCGACGGGGAAACCGAATACGGATCCCGATGGGGAAACCGAATACGGATCCAGATAGGAAAACCGAATACGGATCCCAATGGGAAAACCAAATACGGGTCCCAATCGGGAAACCGAATACGGATCCCGATGGGGATTCCGTAGACGGATCCCGACGGGGAAACCGAATACGGATCCCGATGGGGAAACCGAATACGGATCCCGATGGGAAAACCGAATACGGGTCCCAATGGGGAAACCGAATACGGATTCCGATGGGGATTCCGTAGACGGATCCCGACGGGGAAACCGAATACGGATCCCGATGGGGAAACCGAATACGGATCCAGATAGGAAAACCGAATAC